ATTCCGTAATTAATGAATCTTTTAAAAATAATAGAAAATATGAAAATCTTCAAAAATAGTAATAAAAATAACAAATCAATAAAAATAGTATATACATATCAATCACTTAATAATTGTATAATAATTATTATTTACCTTTTCTACCTTATTTATTTACCTTTTCTACCTTTATTATTTACCTTTTCTATCTTTTCTACCTTATTTATCTACCTTTTCTACCTTTGATATTTATCTTTTTTACCTTTTCTACCTTATTTATTTACCTTTTCTATCTTTTCTACCTTTAATATTTATCTTTTCTATCTTTTCTACCTTCAATATTTATCTTTTCTACCTTTTCTACCTTATTTATTTACCTTTTCTACCTTTGATATTTACCTTTTCTACCTTTTCTATCTTCGATATCTACTCTTTCTACCTTTACTACTCTTACTTTCTATCTTTTTCTATTTACCTTTTTTACTTTTTTATATATATCTTTTTATAATTTTATAACGTAGATGAAATTAAAATGTATTGTCAAACTTTGTATAAATAGGAGTGCTCTCCTATGTATCAATCTCATATTTCAATACTTAAACAAATTAATAACTTTTAATTAGTGATCCTGGTCGACAACAAAAAATTGACTGACCAACTATCATCAAAATTATCGACCACAGTTGATCAGTCAATTTTTTGTATCACATTCTATATTTAGCTTTCATTTTTTTTTCAGTTTGTGTCAAATTAAAGCCACCAATAACCGTAATAACAATGGCAATGAAAATGAAAACGGAACCACTAGTGCTATTAATGGTAACAGCAATAACAACTATGTAAAATGTTATTATTTATAGTATTCTTTATTACTACAAGTAAAACCTTTGCATAGTTCGTTCAAACCAAATGCTTTTGAATCATTTTAAAAACGTAATTGAGTAAAACTAATACAAATTTTTTTTAAAAGAACTATATTACTCTAAATCAAAATAAGGATTAAAACAGTGTTGATTTTTCTTTAAAAAAAGTAAGTCGTGAACTGTATTTGGGTGAAGATGGTTTCACTTTTTATTAACTACATTTCCTGTATCAGAAAATAAACGCTCAGATGGAACTGAGGTTCCTGGAATAGCCAATGACCGTTGTGCTTGCCATATCATTAAGGGTAGAGTTAGTTAATTATCGTGCCAAAAGACTAATGGGTTGTGTTTCTTATAAAGTGGATCAGAAAGATCATGTTTTGGCATTTTGGGCATGTTAAAATAAACCTTAAGTTCAGTTTCGACAGGACACACTTGGCGAGGAGCTTCTTCAAACAATGAATTTAATAAAGAGGGTACATGATTTTCAGAAGCATAAGTTGTTGGATATATATTTCTCATATCTTTTTTCATTTGATGTCGTAATTCATTCTTTGTTGTTTCAAATTTTTCAGATTCAAAACTTAGGTCTTTAAATCTTGGATCTAGCATGGCGGCAATGTATCCTTCTAATCCTGGCTCATCCCAGCGTTCTCCAAAAGATAGCTCAATTTCATCACGCACCTTACGAATACCCTGTAAAAAAAAATAAAAAATAAAAATCAGGAAAAAATCCAGTTTTTAGTTCCGGAAAATCACAGGTTTTGTAAACAAATTTCTGGATTAAAATCTGATAAAAAACTGATTAAAAATCCGGAAACTTTGGGACGCGATATCTCGCGAACCACGGAACCAAT